TCTGGCAAGTGTCTAGGAACCGGGTATGTTTGAAATTCCCTTTACTATCAGGAAAGCCAAGGGACCAACCACTGTGTGGTTTTCCCAGGATCAAAGAGCCAGAAAACACCAAAGACTGGAAAAACAAAGGAAAAAAACCCACTCACACATGTGCCCACCCACCCCTTGCACCAGTTTAAGTCTTCTTGGGCTGTGTTGCTGGAATCTCCTTTTTCTGCCTTCACCCATCACAGATGGGGCCATGGCAGCTTGTCACCCTTAACTCAGGCTCGATTCATCCGGGCTGCACGGACAAGGCAGATGAAAGGTCAAACAAAGACGGGAGAGACGGAGACAAACCAACTGCCCAATTTTAGATATTAAGACAGTAGATGAGACAGCCCAGACAGAGACCCAGGTGCTGTAGGTCAACAGCCTGAGATGCTACATCAGGTTGTGGCCGATGCCTTACAAACCACAGAAGGGACAAAGTATTTTTTTTAAAACAGGCACTTGACCAGCAATTCTTATTTCCCAGTCCATAAGGGCCCAAAACACCCGCCTTTGAGGGAATAGGGGAGCCTGGTTTTCTTTCCCATCCCAAGAGCCAAGCGCTGATACCTCCCTTCCTGAAGCTGATGGGGAAAAAGATGCTTTGCAGACCCATATAACAGGATCTTAATGTCCTCATCCCTCAGTTTCCCCAAATGGCTAAACAGGGATAATTTGTCAGGAGATTATTAGCCACCTTTCAGCTGGCAGATATTTCAGTGTCAGATATTCCTCCCAATAACAGCAGTAATTCTTACTATTGTCACTAAAAATGAACTGACAGCACAGCCTCGAGACGTGAAGTTTTAGCTACTGATTCTCGCCAAGATTTCTTACATCTCTCTAGCACAGAGGTGGAAGATGCTGCCGCTTTGGAAGCAAGCAGCAGAGACTGCAGGCTCTGATAAAAATGAGCAGTGTTAACACCATCGTGCAACTTCTCAGAAAGAAACCTGCTTTTCAATTGGGAGACCAGTGATGCTAAAGAGATGCTGTGAACCTTTTTAGGGACCCCCAGCTTAAGTTTCATGAATGTCTGGTAGAAATTTCTCTAGTGAGAAATGAACTGTTGCCAGCTCAGCCCTGACTGTAAGGAATGAGGTAGCACAGCAGAGGATCTGCATCCCGGGTTGGAGCACCTCACACGTGAGCTCTGATACAGCACTTCACTCTCCCTGGAGTGAAGGAAAGCCTGGAACTGCAGGACTATAATTTTCTTGACATTTCCTGACATATTTACAACACTGGCCAATTTATCAGCTCCTGTAGAACGTGGCTTATGTGACAGCACAATGGGCTGGGCAAAAGCCTCCAGGACTGTCTCATCAGCTAAAATGTCCTGTTGAATGTGCACTTCGTGTGAGCGAGTACCTGCTGCCACCCGGGCAGCTCTGCAGGGGAAGGCAACTGAAGCTGAGTGGGTTTTTCACCAGGACTGTTGAGTGTGCACTCGTGTGAGCAAGTACCTGCTGCCACCCGGGCAGCTCTGCAGGGGAAGGCAACTGAAGCTGAGTGGGTTTTTCACCCCTTGAGAGCATCTGAGTGCCGCAGGGAACAGCCCAGGCATTTGCTCTCCTCTCTGTCTTTTTTGTGATGCACAACTAAGGCCTCTTCTTACTTCCCTGGACTCTTCCAACCTTCTGGTCAACCACGACCTGATTCGGATGGCCTGTGAGTGGGTTTAAGTCATATCCTGAAGCGCAAAAGAAGGTGGGGAGTAGGTGAGGGACACAGCACCCACATAACACGATGAAGGGTGGATGTGAAATGGTGTTGGGATTCACATGTACTGGGGGGTTACCCAGCTATATCCTTCGTTTCAAATTCTCCATTCTCTACATCTCACAAGGCCAGTGGAGGAGTCCCTGATATGTAATCAGAACAGCACCGATACAGAGAGGTTATTCAGAGTGGTTCCTGCCTCCCGTTCCCCAAAAGCAAGCCCAAACTCCCAAACAAAAATGCCAAATTAACTTACGTGTTCAAGGAAACATGGTCCAATTTCACTGAGATGAGGGTCCTCGTTGTTGTACTGTTTCTCCAAGTCCCGGACAAAACCCATCTGAAATCTGTAGATATCTTCAATGTTGCCAAAGATGATTTTTAGCTGTTCATCACTGAACATGTCCCTCCTCTTCCGGCACTGCTTTAAGTAACCCTGCAAGGAGTCAGAAAAAACAAGCCGTAGAATAATCCAAACACTAAGGCTGAGCCTGCTCCCAGATTATTCTTGAAGAAGGATCCAGTAAAAACAGAATCAGAAAATGGCTCTGAAAACCAAATCCACTTGTTACGACATGACAGTCTCCATCAACTCCTGTCTAGGAGCAAGCATGCAACAGGTAAACGCTACGAGTCCTTCTTTCGATAGACCACATCTCATTTGCAACGGCTGTTCCCACCGCAACCCACAGCAGACCCACGGCACTACTCTTGCTAAGGACACGCCAGACCCACTGCGCTCAGGGGTTCACAGGAGACAGCCAGGAGACGCTGGAGACAGCGTGTGCCACGCGTTGGGAGGACAGTGCCGGGGTCTGCCACAATGTCCCTCAGCATTTTGCACGAATCAGTTCTGCAAAGGCAAGGTTCCCCAGAGATCTCACGCAGCACAGCCTGAACAGCTCTGTCCCTGCCTGTGCCGCAGAGAACAGCACGATTTGGCTGACAGCTCCAAAGAGGGGTGTTACAGTACTGTACGCCTGTTCTTTCAGACATCACTGCTGCGCAACACCCAATACCTGGTGTAGCTCCTACAAACACTGCTGTTTCCATGAACTCTTCAGAGGCACACGGCATTCCAGAGGAACTGCGAAGGGGCTGTTTGATCATCTGCCCATGCTGATTGCTCCCTGTAGCCACAGTGATCAGGACAAGGAAGCAGATAACCCTGCTTAAAAATTCTCTATTGACGTGTGGGTGCATGCTCTTGGCCTAGGAAGAGGGTACGGAAGGTGCAACCACCATACTGGTTGCAGCACCAAATGAAATGCCGAAGGAAAAAACTCTTCAGGCGTTCCCTGACTTGGGAGGCAACATGGTTTATATCCCCCCATTCGTCTTCCTGAGGCTGAGACAAAAGCAGAAGGGCTGTTGTCCTGTGAGTGCCATGGCAGGGAACCCCAAAGGCCTGAGGTAGGCTGGGGAGGGGTTTGCCTCACTGGGAGCAGCCCGAGCTGCTGATCAACGCCGTCTACAGGAAAGCAGCATTATTTTAGTTTTGTTTTCTAGACCCCCCACTCCATCAGCAGAAATAGGCTATTCCAAACAGTGTAAAACGAGGGAGAATTTTTTTCCTGTTTTCTTAACTATCATCTTTCATTGCTTTTCTTCCTTTTAAAGTGGAAAAGGCTTTGTACCCTTCCCTGTACAAACATCAGCCTCCTTACTGAGTCCACAGACACTAATGTCGAACAGAGAAAGAGAGAGAAAGAACAACGATGTGGAGAGTTTAGGGAAATTCTCCAAAATCACGGAACGAACCTGCAGTAGATCTGGAATCAACTCAGATCCCCCGTGTCTCGCTCCAGCGCAATAACAACATGCTCCTCCTTGACAATTCTGCGTGTGCCTGTGATACCCACTGGTACCGAACCCGAGCTTAGCTGGACATGACGTGAACACAGCCTGGTAGGCAGGCACTGCCCAGAAGACGCCCTGACCTAGAAAGACTGAGCAGATCAATACTCGACACACCAAGTTCTGTCTGCCTCCCTGTTTTGCTGACCCTGCCTTATCCATGAACTCGCCATCCTGGCTTCAGCTGAATCATGAGGACTTCCTCAAACACGCCTGCCTGAAGCACACGTGGTCCAAGGGACGGTGTGACACATGGGGGCTCTGGGTGCTTACGCTGGGTTTCTGGCTCTGCCCCCGACCTGTGTGACATTGAGCAAATCACCTCATCCCCCCCGTGCTTCATCTGTCTGCACAACTCAACCAGAAACTCTGCAAGGCCAAATACCAGATGCTACCTTGAGCTGGACTGCGGCCTCTTGACTGAAAAAAAATAACACGAGGGTCACCAGGAGATGACTTTGCCTGCCTGTATTATATAGGAAGGGAAAAAGATGAAGGGAAAAAGATGCCAAGAGCTCCAGTTGAATGGCTATATTTGGGAACTCTAGATGCTTAGTCACACAGACGAACCGCCAGCTGGTGACACGCAGCTGCTGGTCCACAATGCGAACTACTGGAACGCTATAATAAACTGTCCTTCAGCCTCGCCGTGTGGTTCCTGGGAGGGAGAACAGATAAATGAGAAATGCAACTTTGGCCAACCTGGCAAAGAACCAACCTCTGCGACGTCCAGCTTAGCTAGAAGGACACCACTACCCTGAATTTGCTGGCTTTTTCGGCTACGAAGCTTGGGTTATGGAATACCTTCTGTATTTGCTAAATCTAGGTCTCTCTTCTTCCAGGAGGTCCTTGATGACTCATTTCCCTGGGTTTCCCTCTCTCATTTTTCAAGGCCAGGAGGAATGGGAGCAGGCTGGTTCCCACGTTGCAGGACAGTTACAGAGCAAATAAAAATTAAAACTAGCAAGGCATAATGCAGACTATTTCCTCCCTGCTGCTTTTCATGTTTACCTGCATATCACAGAGCAGCTTTCAAAAAGAAACCAGACGCGCACCTGCCCACGAGGCCAGGCTCCTTCTGACACCGGCTTTGGTGCTAGCAGTGCCGGATGACTGCAGCAAGCCGTCTGCGTTAAGACCTTTGCCCTGCTGCAGGCTGCCCTCAAGCCAGCCTCCCCTCTCGCATCCTGCTCTGTGAAATCAGTCACTGGATGACTTACGCGAACATCTTTCAGCCCTGGGGTTGCTATTGGCTGCGACTACTGTCTTGAATATTCCCCGTCCTCCCTGTGCTGGTTCATCACTTTGCCCGAGTCACGTGTTTCAGAGACGCTGAAGCAGCACATTTCTGTACAGGCATCTATAAAACCACGGGGAAAATAAAGAACGCATAGAGTTCCCGAGCCTTATCCTTTATCCAGCTTGTGAATTTGGATGGTTGGTTTCCAGCACAAGCCAGCAAAGAGGAGACTGAAGCTTTATACATAATACACTGCAAGAGCCAGCTAGAAGGCTGCTGCGTAGTTTTTTCCAGTAAATTTACTTCTGTTACATAAAACAATGTCATCCTCCTTCTGCTCACCCCGTCAGGTTTGCTCAGAGAAGGGCTAGCTGACTGATGAGCAGATGTTGGAGAGCGTTTTGCTCAATGAATACCTAAAAATAGCTGTCGAACTGTCTCTCCTTAAAGTACTTTTCCATGTAGTCCCCGAAGTATAGGCCAAAGTTGGAAAGTATTTGCAGGAAGTTAAGTGCGAAGTTTTCCCCACCCCAGAGTGGGTTTAGAGACAGTCGGGAGAGATGGTCCGTCCGTCCATCTCTCCCTCCCTCCCTCCATCCTTCTTGTCTGGCTGAGAGCAAGGCGAAGGAGAGAATGAGACGATAGCCACTGCAGGCTATAACTTCAAAGGCCATTGTGATGATATTCCAGTTTCTTTCCATCTCTGCGCCAGTTTGGAGCTGTCTACACTGTCCTGTAGACCATTCCCACCTTGGACCAGCATGTGGGCTGTAAAAGTACTGCTCCGTAGACTGAACTGAAAAGGCAAACCAGAGCATGTCTGCTCCCAGGCACTCAGGATTCCGAAGCACTTGTTCAAATGCCGGTCTACAGCAAGTTCTGAATGTCAGACACTCTGCTGGCACTGGGGGCCACCTGAAAGAGAACATGAAGTCCTGCAGGAACACACGCCTGTTCCTCAGAAAGGCAGCCAGCTCCGAAACAGAAAAATGAGGTGTGCACAAGCAGGCTGTGAAAGACAGCTACAGACTGCACACTGGGGAACACGTATTTGTGGTATATACATCCCCATGGATCCAAAGAGCATTCTGCAGGCGCTCTCCGGTCTGGGATTGATGGATGAGAAACTGGTCATACGAAGGGGCCAGCAGCCTCTCAGATGTGGTCCTCTGACGGGCAGGCCACGCTGCTGCCAAGGAGTTTTTATGCTGTTTCTCTCTGAGGCAGCACAAAAAAAGTGGGATTTATCCATCTCCGAGAATGAGTCGGGCTAATGCCATCCAGACCATGTGAAAACCTGTCCCACCAGCACTGCACAGCAGACTCAGTGTGACACACTAGGATGCAATGAGGATGTTTTCCACACGGCATTCAGAACCGCCCTGGCACCAAAGCAAAGCTGAGGTGGAATCCAGTCAATGTTATTAAAAAGTGAAATTGCCTGGGAAAGAGCAGAACGCAGCATTGGAAGTTGGCTAGCCCTCCTAACCTCCCACCCCCAAATTACTCATAATACGGAGGTTTCCTTTGATCTCCCAACTGGCTCACTGTTCCCAACCAAGCTCTGTCACTTCTCCCTCTAACACCTCCTTAAGTTTAGCCTTGTTTTCCTGACCCACACGCTGGTTCAAATCCTGCTCGTTTCTCAAAGCGCTGCACCCTGCTCTCTGTAGCCCTCCTGGGTCTCCCTCTTCCACCCGCGCTCCCCACCGCATGCTGCAGCTCAAACCACCTTCTCTGCTCTCATCAAGTGGCTGTCCTGACCGAGCACCTCGGCTGCTCCGCCGCTGTCACTGCTCCCACACCCTCCGGCATCCTCCCAGGATCAAACCCCGGGCTCAGGGGGTGTCTTCTCAAGCCTGGAGATGGCCGTGCACACATGTGGTGCTTTACAGGACAGCGAGTGCGCAGCACTGCCTGCCAGCAAGGCTGGCTATTGCTACCCACTATTAAAGCCTAGTTTTCAGCTTATTTTTCTAAGCTCTACCGCTAAGCCCAAAATGCCTATTGCTGGATACATCCTTAAGGCTAAATTCTTCTTTCTTTCTTTGCCCCTTGGTGGTATTTTGGAATAAAGATCCATCCACTCCTGATAATGCAATCCAGGGAAAACTCCACATTTTAGCCCTAACAAAAATCTTCACGAAACAGTTTTCACCAAGCAGCAGTCAGTCCTTCACACCCTACGCAAGGGCACAACAGCACGGCTCTGCTGCGATGGGGCATTCCCTGCAAGCCAGCCGCTTCGCGCAGGTAATTGTCATTCCGGTGCTGGCTAGCTTGTGAGCTCCTGGCTTGGCAGGACCAGTGCCACGGCTATTATGAATAATAACACGGTGTATAATAATATAGTAGCAGGTAGTGGAAATACATCCTGAAGCAGAAAAGAGCAATTGGAGGGCTCTTAATCACCTAGCAGGGGCTGTGGTCCTCTGATAACAACCACACATCTTAAGGTGCCTCATCGGAATTAGGATGTTACTCATTATAGCTCAGCAACAGGAGCATAACTGCACACTGCTAAACTCCGTACTAAATCAGGCTCAACCTTCGCCACCCAGCCAGAACTCCTCTTTCATCCCCTCCAATACGTTTTACGGCTGCTGTTTGTCCTGACACCTTAAAATGAAGAGCAAAGGGAAGAGGGGAATTCGCCAGTGTCAACAGCACTTCTGCATCTCATCAGCAGTTGCCTGGTGTCCACTCGTTCTTCGGCACAAATAACACCTCTGTACAAATTCATCCAGTAGCGCGGGGAGGAGTTCAAGCCATCCCACGTCTCTCCATCTCCAGCCCCCTCTTCGGCACAAACAGAAACAGTCACGTCATGCTGTGCCAAAATGCCTGGGATGACTGAGCTGTCTCTGAGCCTTCTCGAGGCAAATGGATTGCTCTGATTAAACCGAGCACAATGAGGCTCTCCAGCAAGGGACAGCCCATCATTTTGCAGATGAGAATGCCCATTTCAGTCCTCCTCCTTCTTTAAGAGAGGCAGCTGAATCATTTCCTGGTGCTCTACCTGGATTTATCCCCTCAATACCATTTTGCATCATGCAGAGCAAGGCAAAAGCCTTAGAGAGCTCTTCCATAACTGGGAAATACCATTAGCTGCTGTAAATCAGTGCTACCCCACAAATGCCACTGAAGCTATACCTATCTGTAGCTCCTGAGAATCTGATTTGGCAAATCACGGGGACATGGCTGGGAAACGCAACCTAAGGTTTATTCAGTTTTTCAACAGAAACGTGCAAATGCAGGAAAAGAAGCAAGATGTGGAAAGGTTCCTGCAGTTCTTCCCTTCTTCAATGCAAAGCCCTCTGACTGAAATAGCACAGCGAAATTAAGCTCATTTGTTTCCAAATTGAAATCCCAAGACTCTTCCATATTTGAAAAGCATCATAGATGCTTTTTGGATGGCTGCTCTGCCTTGTCAACAGGGAAGTAGCCAGTATGAAGGGAGGAAGACATTTTTCTAAGCAGAACTCACAAGGGGCTTCAGCACACTGACTCTGCAAAGGCTGGGCACGGGCTCGCTAAACCCTAAACCCTCAGAGGGATAAGCTGAAAGCCATGGGCTTTGATTTTAGTGCTAACGCTCCCCGGTGCAGCCATGCATCCCAAACACCCAGCGCTGCACGCACCGCGCTCTGGGTTTAGCTCGTGGCACTAATTCTCTGTGCTGCAGGGCTCGTAGGGGTTAACTGTAACATGAAGAAGAACTAAGTTGACGATGTGATGGGTTAGTCACCAAAGTTCATTTGCTTGCCAGCTCCCTTACACTGGCTAAATGCAACGATCTTCATTTCTCAGGGTGAACACGCTTTGCTCTGAAGGCAAACAGGGACCATCCTGGGCCAGGGGAAATTGTGAACCCAGTGTGACAGACACAGATGAAATGGGTAACTGGTTGGTTTAATTACAACCTCATTTCCTCAATCACAAGTTCAAAAGTAGATGGCATTGGGTTTTAATTAAGAGGACTGTGTGAAGGATCCCCACAACATGAGTTTTTAGTCAGAGGTATGGAAAAAAGGTCAGAAAATTGTACTTTCAGTTAACACAAACTAAAGGTAATTATCAGATCCAGCAGAAAGTTCTCAGAAGTATCAATACTTATTGACAGACGATGCTTAAACACAGTACTCAAACGCAAGTGCATCTTTTTCCACCATCACCCAAGGACAGACCCAGTCCTCAGCTCTCAACAGCCCACCCCACGTCCTGCTGCAGCACCCCAGCGTCACAACCCCCGCGTACCTCGCAAATGTCCTTGAGGTGCTTGATGTAGTGGCGCTCCGTGCTCATGATTTCATTGATGACGTTGGCTCTCATCTGGTCTCGGTTCTGAACGGTCCTGCCGAGACAGAGGCAGTCGGCGCTTGGATCCAAATGGCCATTCTGCACGTCGCTGGTTCCCTCCTCCACTCCATCTTCTTGGTTTACCCATAGCTGCGAGGAGAAGAGGGGAGAGCAACAGGCTTACTCCTAAAAGCATCAGGAAGCCAACGAGCTTTGGGTTGCGTGACTGATCAACTCCCTCCCTACAGCAACGGCGATGCTCCGGCCAGCGACGCACCACAGTGTCCTCAACAGCTCACAGCCCAGACAGACCAGTTTTAAACCAGTGCAACCAGCCCCAAACGGCTCCACAACCACTGCCAAGTTCATTGCGTGAACAAAGGGATTTCTCGCGTTGACAGGTTTGATCCCAAATATAAAATGGTCAAGTGAAAGGGCAGCTGGACTGCTGGATGCTGTCAGGTGCTCGGCACCAAGATGTAGATATGCAAAACAGACCAACCTACAGAAAACTGCAGGTACTGCGGGAAGCGCTGCTTGTCCCAGTTCCCACACTCCATCAGCTGGGGTCAGCCCAAACAGGAAGAATCCTCTGGGAGGAGGGACGAGCCCTTCACAGGTGACTGATTTAAGAAGGTCAAGGTAGGTCTGGTTCAGATATCTGAATGAATGTGAACATCAGCCCAGGCTAACCGGGTTGTGGCACTGAGTTTTCTGTAAACCTCCCAGGCCAGGATTTGTGAATGAGCACTGATTCTCATTTCACAGCAGCTTTCCTCATCATTTCACATGAAGAGCCTTTCTCGCTCAGGCAAATGCCCTATCTCAGCATCCTGAGACGGTCATCCCTAAACTGCACCCAGATCAGACTGGCTGAATAAGTCTGCTAAACCTGGGGGGACTGAAGGCAGCTTTGGAAGGCTGGGCACTGAATACCCTAAATCGGAACAAATTGCAAAAAGCGGCGAAAAAGGATCGCTACGTTTTGAACACACTGGATTTTCCTTCCATCATCAAATAAAAACCATACACTGAGCTTGTAAACGGAAAGGTAACGCTGTCTCCTAGTCTGTGTCTTTGAGCAAGTCTGTGCCCTGCACACAAGTGCCTCCTGTTTTTACCTTTTCCCCCCAATAAAACCTGCTTCAAATAACTCCGATCAACACCAAGTGGGCTCAGTGTAGTCTGCAAACAAACATTAAATAAAGCTTACAGCAGACAGAAACACTGCTGCCCTACACAGATCACCCAAGCTGGTATGTACAAGAAGTATTTAAAGCCCCGAATACTGGAGACTTTCAAACATAAAACTGTAACTCCTATGAACAGTGAAACTGTCCACACAACAGAGTGGCATATGGGAAACAAACTGATCTTTCGTCTTCTTTTCAGTGTTAATAGTTTTTAATACTTTCCCATTATTCAGTTTAAATTTGGGTTTAAACAGATTGCAAAGGGCTGTGTTCCTGTAAATGAGTAAAGTAAAAAAAACCTAAGCCTGCCCATGCTCCTTCCCTGCTTTCCTAACCAATACTGCGTTTTGCTAAACCACTTCTTACAGCTCCCACGTTTTGCCATCCTACAGTGCGTTATAAAGGCCAAGAAGCTGAGATGTTTGAAGAAAACCTCTCCCTTCTCCAGCAGAATGTTAATGATTACGTAAACTTAGGGGATAAAAAACCCCACAGCAATGAAAACCCAGAGTTTCCACCCTGCTCTCGAGTGCACCCTGTGCCCAGGAGCTATCGGGGACTTCACACGGGGGTGTGTGGGGCAGCAAAGCCTGTTTAAATGACACGATGCCGTGGGGCAGGACGTGCTGGGGGCATCGACCCTCCGCAAAGCGCTGGGGAGAGCTGCGGACCCCCGGCTGGGCTCACGCCACGTCCTGGCAGCGCCGGGCACTTCCCAGGGCAGGAAATCCAGCACAGACCATTTGCCTGAGCGAGCAAGTGGCGGAGCCAGGATGGAGCCGGGCATCCTGCCTGCTCTGCCCACGCGATCTCCTACCTGTGTCCCCCCGACGCTGCCAACACAGGACCTCCTTCTGCACATCAGGAGACCAGAGGGACATGCCAAAGCCTGCCAAGGAGGCAAAATAACCCCTCCTGCCACCTCGGCACTGCTGCCCTTGCAGGAAGGAGCCATCCTCGAAGCCCACAGGCTTCATACCTCTCCCCACGGCAGCGCAGCCGAGAGTCAATTTAATGTCTTGTGTGACAGAGCAGAAGCAAAACCCAGCGAGTAGGGCTGTCAGCTCTCGTTTCGTACGTCACGATGCACTCTGGGGGAAAAGGGTGCGTCCAGGCAGGCACAGAACAGCCGCGCGGTCCTGCGGCACCGGCAGCACCCAGGGTGGATCGGCTGTGGGCAAAGCAGGGCTGAACTAAGGCTGAGCAGCCCTGCGTGCAGCAGAAGGGCTTTTCAGTGACCCCAGCCAGGCCCAGCTATGCCACTTTGGACACTGGAAACTCCCAGGAGATGCAGCATGCCTGGGAACAGCTCTGCCTGCCTTTCCCCAGGTCCTTCCCACAGGATGGGGCTCTCCATCGCAGCATCTGCTGCAAAGACGGACTAGGTCATGTTGAGTCCCAGTTGTGGAGCTGCACATGGATCTCTGAAAGGGTTTTTTGTAGGATTTCCATCAGCACTGGGAGGTCTGGTTGAGCCCTGGGTCACTGCGAGGGAAGGCAGTGAGTTAGTGACCCAATCACACCCAAGGAGATGGGGATCCAGAAAACAAAACCTCCCTGGGCACACTGGAACCAATTTCAGAAGAATGTCGCCTGTTCAGAGAAACAACCCAAAAGCAAGTCAGAAAACATGTCTATTCCCAGTAACCCCGACTCTGCTCTGGAAGAGGTTTCAGTTACGCTGAGATAGAGCAACGCTTCATCTCCGTGAGCAGTTCTATGCTGAAAACTAGACATCCAAGCACAGCTTCTGAGTAACTGCCACGCCAGCGTAAGGCTGCCGACGCGACCGCAGGGGCCAGCTTACCTCAGCGACACTGATTTTGGCTGGGGCTCTGCTGTGAAAACCTGGGGCCATCCCGGGCAGGACAGAATTGCACTGGGAGTCCTCGGATGGATACGTCCTCATGACAGCTTTATTGGCATTCCAAACCAAATACACGTTGAAAATCAAGCAGGACCCTGCTGGCTGAAGGTTAAAATAACTTCCCATCCTACTTTCCCGCTACCACGAAAAGGTGTCTTGCAGCTCTCCCAAACCCAACTGGGACAGCTTGTTACCAAATTTTGTGACAGTCCTGCCAGTTTGGCAGCAGAGGGTATTTTTGAAGCTCTACCTCCTGGAGTCAAGTGGTCACGAGAAAAATTCCAATTTTTCATTTAAAAACTAAAGGAGGACAGATGTAATCATAATAGTAGGGTGGGAAGCCTGAAAGTGTGAATCCTAAAGGCTTTGGAAGTCTAAGGCAACTAGCCAGCTTGCAGATCTTCCCAATTTGTGCACTGCAGGAACACTCCCTGCTTCCACACCTGTGAATCTCAGGAGTCCTGCTTTTTTCCTTAAGGAAATTTTTGCTCCTTCCCACCAGGAATCATGTTCCCAAAAGGAAAAAAAAAAAATATAGTTCTAGTCTAGATGACTTGAGCTTAAAAACAAACGCAACAATGCTACTGGTAACGGAGGAAGCTGAATGTGCCCTCCAGCCTCAGCTGCTGAAGGACTAATCCCACTGCGCTGTTCAGAACCCCCTGATTTTTGTCTTAACCTCTAAAGCTCTCTATAATTCCAGCAAGGATCATTCTTCCAGAGGATCATTTGAAGTTTGGACCATGACTCACAAAAGATGAGGTACACTGGCAGCTCTGCTCCCGACCTTGGGCCAACCACTTAAACTGGCGGAGGCCATCCCCGTCTATGAACGGGGATAATCTACCTTACCAATGACATTTCTCATGAATATTTTTGAGGTTGACAGACTTTATGTTGAAGCAGAGGGCGGAGAAAATCTCTGGCGTACTTGGACGTGTGGATTTAACGCATCACCATGGGTTCACCGCACTCCTGTACCCACCCACGAGCAACGCTTTGGCTAGATGGCCCTTTGGTCTGATGCGCTGTGGCTGGTGGTGCCCCTCCTGCTCTCCGATCCTCTCGTGCCTGTGCTGAGAAAGAGCCAGGCTGTGCCGGGGCAAGGGAAGGCTGCACCCAACGTGTTAATTGTGTCCTCTGACCCAACACCACCACCCCAAGCCAGATCCTCTCTGCTTCACTGGCCTGCTCGCTCAAACCGCAATGATGGCGTGCTGCAGGCGACAGCAAGGTGGAAGAGGCAAACTGGGGGTGACACGGTTTCTTCCCAGTAACTTATTAAATGTCATATTTAGTTGATTTAGACAACGCTGCAAAGGTTCCTGTTTTAGCCCAGTCCCCAGTCACCTGTGAGTAGGGTCTTTGCTATGTTTTAGACACATGTGACTTTCCCAAAAACGCTTCACCCCAGTTGCTGCGGATAACAGCTAATGGAAAAAGGGCTCCCTCTTCCCCAGGTTTTCCAACATGCACTGGACACAAGTGTACAGATGTACCTCCCTCCCACTGCAAACATCTCTTTTCTTTTCTAAAAGAAACTTTAAAACCCAGGTTTTCTCCCAGTTTCACCTCATCTCCCCCTCTTTCC